TGGTAAACATAAACTTTTCAACTTTTAATGAGGTTCCTAAGATTACAGTCTCATAAAATTCTCTTGAGTCTTAATCAGTTGGATGTTTAGACATCAGTAGATGGGATTTAACAACCTCTGGGATAGAGAAAACAACCCTGGAAAAGTCAGCACTGGTAATAATTATTTACAATTGTGGCTTTTCTTAATTTCCAGAAATGATGGCTCTAACTTTGCATCCACAATTAGATTCCCTCATCACCTGAAAGGCAAATGTAGTAATAACAGCAAAGAAAATATATATAAATGAAAGTGTATATACTTGGGTCTATGAACCTTTACAGGGGTCACACAGTACTTGCCCATCTGTGAGAGCAGAGAAGTGTCTGTGAGGTCACTTATGACTTCCCCATGTACAAGGGTAAGTACTGAATTGGATGAATGTTTGTTTTTCTTTCTCTAAACCACCTTGAGTTTTTGATGTGCCTTGTGTCTTCTCTTTTGAGATTATCATTGAACATTAAGTGGGATGTGGATTTTCAAGATAGCAGAAGAAGAAAGATGCTGAGAACCAAAAATGGTCACTGACTCCCTGAATATTTTTCTCCCAAAATGGCCTTTCATTTATTTATGTTTATTTCTGTACATGAACTTTCATAAAATGTAGAAAGTAAAGTCACAGAGAAGTGTGGGCTTCACTTTATCATTTAATTTTGGTTCTTAGTCCCATTTTAGTGGGGTAGTTTGAATAGGACTGGGATTTCATTATAATGTTATGATTTTTACTGTTCTTGCAGATATGACCCAGAGAAGAATGGCCTTAGGCAATGACTCTTCAGTGAAGGAGTTCATCCTGCTGGGCTTGACACAGCAGCCAGAGCTCCAGCTGCCTCTCTTCTTCCTCTTCTTGGGAATCTATGTGGTCTCCACACTGGGGAACCTGGGCTTGATGGTTCTGATTGTTTTGAACCCTCACCTGCACACCCCCATGTACTACTTTCTCTTCAACCTTTCCTTCATTGATTCCTGCTCCTCTTCTCTCATAACCCCTCAAATCATGGTGAGTTTTGTGAAGCAGAACATCATCTCCCATGCTGAGTGCATGACTCAGCTCTTTTTCTTTGCCTTCTTTATTATTGATGAATGCTACATTTTGACAGCCATGGCCTATGACAGATATGCTGCCATCTGTAAACCCTTGCTTTACCAGGTGACCATGTCCCATCAGGCCTGCCATTTGATGCTTGTGGGTGTGTATGTGATAGGGTTTGTGGGAGCCATGATCCATACTGGTAGCGTATTAAGTCTGACCTTCTGTGATGGCAACATCATCAATCACTATGTGTGTGATGTAGTTCCTCTCCGGAAGCTCTCTTGCACAAATACTGCCACCAATGAGCTGGTGGTTTTCATTGTTGTTAGTATCAATGTAATAGTGCCCACCCTGGCCATATTTATTTCTTACACCTTGATACTCTTCAATATCCTTGGCATCCATTCTGCAGAGGGTAGGTCAAAAGCCTTCAGTACCTGTGGCTCCCATGTAATAGCAGTTTCTCTTTTCTTTGGAGCCTCATCATTCATGTATCTTAAGCCCACTAGTTCATCTGTGGATGATGATAAAGTAGCTACCATTTTTTATACCATTATGGGCTCAATGCTGAATCCTCTCATCTACAGTTTAAGGAATAAGGATGTCCACATTGCACTGAGAAAAACTTTGAAAAACAGGATTTTTACCTAAGTAGAATCTCTATTTGTTCTGTAAGTAAATCTTAGGACATGTGAAGCATAGGACTGGAAGAGTTGCTAATTTGTAGAGCATATGTTTATTTGTGTGCAGGCCTGGATTTGATCCACTGTTTTCAAAATCTTCAATGAAAACAACAACTAAAATAACATCAAAATCCTAACCAGTGGTGAGAATAGTGTGGAATTAAAACTATTTAACATTATACAAAATTAATTTGATTATCAAAAAATTCAGAAGTCAAGACAGTGAAGGGTATAGAGCATAGTTTATTTCATAATTTTCCCAAATCACATGTATCTTTTTTTCAATTTTGAAAACTGAACAACACATTTGTGCAGCAATCTACCAGTATGTTACACTCCAAGCTTAGATATCACCAGAATTTAAGTATACAAAGCAATGGATGATATTATACTCAGAAATCATAAGATCATGTGATCTTTTAAATGTACATTTTTTTTCATGTGTTTGCAGGTTGTGTGTTTGGAGAATCATATTCATGCTCTCTTGCATGGTAGGCAAATGCTCTTCCATTTATCCACCTTAAGCACAACTGTGAGATCGTTGACTAGGGTACACCTAGAAGTTATGTCACTGTGCTACTGACATACTGATTTTAGTAGTCTTAGAGACACTGTCTCATTCATTCAGTTAATAACCCTCTGGGGATATTTGTCGATTTCTTTTTGGATGGCTCTTTTTAGTCTCCAAAGGTTCAAATATGGAGGGGAAAAGCCTTTTTCACTCTTGTCTTTTCTCTTTAGCCTCTTTGGTAAGGAGGAATTGATGAGTCTATTGTGATTCTAGTGCTTGCAGACTGAAAATGAAACAGAAACTGTGGTCATTTAGGATAAATGGACCTGAGGGCAAGAATGTGCATATAAAGACAAGCTATGTCTTCATTGGGAAGGATTTGACTAAGCCATTTTACTTCTCATTGCTAAAGGAATTTTGTCTTGTCCTCAAATTAATTATATAACCCAAATTTATTAGTAGTAATCTCTTTCCCTTTAATAATTTTACTTTTGTAATATATAGTGGTTAATTGTATTGAAGAGCAAGTATAAATTGAGTATCTATACAATTTTAGACATCAAGATATCTAGGATTATGTCAAAATTACAAATGTAGCTCTGAAAAATGCTCAAGACGCCTATGATCTTAGAAGGCTACAGACTAGTAAGGTGGTGATAAAATTAAATTTTGTATTTGTGAATATATAATGGAAAAATAATACACAAAATCTTGTAAGAATGTAATTTTCTGAGAATAACTGTCTAATGTCTTGGGTAGGCTGGTCGCAGAACTCTTTATAGGAGGTGGCAGGTGACTTGACTATAGGCATAGTTGCCCACAGAACAGCTAAGGAAAGGGAGGAACTGAGCAGAGTTTTAGAGGCAGCAACTACCTTGATGATGAGGAGGCATGGTTTTGGGAAGCAGTTGAATGCTATGGCAGAAGGCTAAGCAGAAGAATGTGCATACAAGTGTGAGGAATAATTAACATGAGGTTGAATTGGCGATTTGTAAGGGAAAAGAATGGATGTAAACAATCACAATAAAAGTCTGAGTGATATCAGTCCAACATCTGACAACGTTTTTCATCCTTCTCCTGTATTCTGAAGTGTGGTCAATGTTCATCTATACTTAATGCAGCTTCAGGAAAAATTGGTACTGAAATTCATGAAAGAATAAATTTAAACAATAAAAATTTGCATGCCCTGCAGGTGAGGTCATGATTCTTTGCCTATTGTACACACCTGAAAAATGAGTCAAGGTTGCTAGATGTCAGCTGAAACAGCAGTAAGTGTTTGGTTTGAAGCCCCTTGATCCTATGTCTGCATGAGTTTAGTAAGCTATGTCAAATGGAAGGACCAAGAGAAATGACTTGATTTTCAGTCTGAGTTCTGCAAGTGTTGAGTCTGAGTCTTCTGTGTCTTTGATTCTGCACATCTAATATTAAAACTTCTGTGGATGTTACCCATAAAATAAACGACAAATAATTATATACAATTAAAAATATTGTAATACTTTATTTTAAATACCATATCCTAGAAACATAAACATGTATTTTTTTCACTTAACTTCCTTGAGGTAAGTATGTACCTGATTCTCAATAGCTTCTCACTGCTTATTTTTGTTCTTTTGCCTTGAGACAGGATTGTGTGGTTCATCTCAGTATAGTCTTGAATTTATCATCCTCTTCTCTTTGTTTCTTGAGGACTGAGATAACAGGCATGTGCCACTACTCTTGGTCTAACAAGGTCTAGGCCCTGATGGTGTCCCGCTGGCAGTTCCAGCATAGCTGCCATTGCTAGTAACAGTGTAACGACCTGACGATTGATATCTGCATCACTGTCACTGCAGTTGAGTTGGGGGAGAATTTGTGTTAATACATAGTTGGTGTTAATTTGGGGTTATTTAAGATTCATATACATCTATGAAAATGTATTTATTATTACATTTGTAAGATTAATTCAAGATGTAACATTAAAGCAACTATAATTTGTCACATATAATACATATGAATCATCATATGGAGAAAAGAACCAAGAGCATACTGAAACATAGTTAAGGAAACATTGTTGTTTTGTACTACCAGGAATGGATATGGTATCTTCCCATGCCGATATCTATGAATACACAGCCAGTTCTAAGGGATTTTATTTGAGAAATAGTATCATTTTATATACTTACTTTTTGTTCATTTAATACAAAGCAATAATACCTAAGAAATCAAGATAACCACAAGTCATAAAAGCTAGGTCATTTTATGTGAGATTCATTCACAAAATGTGGTATATATTAAATGCCTTAATTCTGAAGTCAGGATAAATTGTTGAGTCATCTGTAAATAACAGTGTATGTATATACATATCATAATCCTTTTAATAAAAAAAAATTTGAAATTCCAAGCAGTATGTGGTTTCATGCCTGTGTGGGTTGACTGCCTCCTTTTCTCCCCTAGTGATATGAATCACAACATCAGGTCTTACTAATTTGATAATGCTGTCTCTGTGCAATCCCATATTGTCTTTACTTTCCTGGTAGAATAGTGGTCATTAAATAGGTTTGTTCCTGCATGAACTTTTGTTGGTGTCCCATTCCCCAGAACAGTGGATTTTAACAGTACTAGGGTCTTCATGGTGTGATCAGTTTAAAACTCATTTAAGTTACTTTGCAACAATGTTAAGGTTGGTCCCAAACCAATCTGACTAGTGTCCTTAGGAGAAAAAAAAAAAACATCAAGAATGGATGTACACATAGGAAGGACCTGGTGACAGCACAGGGAAAGCATGGTCATCTGTCAACCAAACAGAGAAACCTCAGAAGAAAACATAACCCACATTTGAAGGAGGACTTTCAGCCCCCAGAGCTGCAAGACAATGATCTCCTCTTGTTCAGCCATTCTGTCTGTTGCACATTCCTGAATTTTTTTCACACACTTAAGCAAATTACACAGTGGTAAAAATACAATTTTAAACTTTGTGTGCCAGGTATTAAACACACACACATGGAAGTGCTTTATCATAGTGCTATAAATATCCATTCCTCTTTTTACTTTTGAATTTGGAACAAGGTCTCACTAGGTTACTCTTCATGAACTTGAGCCCTTCCTGGAGTCCAGACATGTCTTGAACTCAGCATCCAGAGTTGTTAGGATTATAGGTATGTATCACCAGGCCCAGCTACTTTATAGTCTTAGGAGCCTATAGTGAGGTAAACAGAGCATTGGAACAAACAAACAAACAAACAAACAACTCTGCTAGTTGTGGTGCACATACTTTATTAGTTACTGTGATTCCACACAGAGGAGTCTGAAGCAGAAAGCTGAACAGTTCAAGGCTTTTCTAAACCACAGAGTTCCAAGTCAGCATGGGTTTTATAAGTAGACTGTGTCTTTCAAATCAAACCAACCAACCAACCGACCAAAAAACCAAACAACCAAACAACCTATAAACTGAACAACCAATAAACCAAGCAACTAAATGAAACAACAACAACAACAACAACAACAAAAGCCACTAAAAAAGAGTAAACATGAAATACAAGTCTTTAAACTTTGGAAAGATGGTATTTTATGTAAAGAAATAGAGTTTTAAGTTGATGAATAACAATTGCACATATTTGAGTGGCAATGTCTTCTAAAGTGAATTGTATTGAGGGATTGTGACTGTGAGAACAAGGAAGATAGTAATTGGAATGAGAACACAAATCTAAGCTCCCAGAGAAAGAAAAGACTGTTTCCAAAATGGCATCTCAACACTGAGTTCTTATAGATGAAGAAGAAAATAAGAAGGAGGAAGAGGATGAGGATGAGGAAGAGGATGAGGAAGAGGATGAGGAGGAAGGAGAAGAAGAAAGAAAAGGAGAAGAGGATGAGTAGGAGTAGGAGTAAGAGGAGGAGGAGGACAAAAAGGAGGAGGAGGAGGGAGGAGGAGGAGGAGGAGGAGGAGGAGGAGGAGGAAGAAGAAGAAGAAGAAGAAGAAGAAGAAGAAGAAGAAGAAGAAGAAGAAGAAGAAGAAGAAGAAGAAGAAGAAGAGCAGCAGAAGCAGTAGCAGCAGCAGAAGCAGCAAGCTTATGGCAAGCACAGTGTTCATTACCACTGAGCTGGTACCTACAAACAGCACTGGCTGCTGAACTACCATTGGTCATTTGTGTCCTCTACTCCAGGTAAGAAATGTAATGAGCAAGAGAAGGCCACAATGACCTTGGTGACTGAAATCATGCCTCATGCTTCCCTGAGAAAAGTTTTGGGATCATGTTCTTGTGACATTCTAAGTTCTTTTTCCTCAATATATTTAGCTTACTGATCAAATCTAAGTATTTAGTATTTTTTATCCTTGCTTATCTATAATTTTTGGGGTAAAGATCATTTGAACACATCTCTTTTTGTAAGATTTCCTTAAGAAAAGCTATCACACATTGGTGGGATGGGCCTATTAGAAGCCTTTCAGATTTCTGAAAATAAAACAAAAGTCTAAGACATTTATTCACTTTTGGAATTTCAAATGTATATTTTTTTCAGATGTGAAGTATTAGTGATTTTTTTTACAATTTATGAAAATGAAATGATTAAATATTAATGAAATAAAACCTTTTTTGGTTAATTCTGGGAGAATCTTATTTGATTATGTAGATAGACATAGAACAATCAGATTTACATTTAGAACTAAAAAATAAAGCTATATCAGTGATGGAAACAACTTATCTAATATGCTGTGTATGATATATATCACTCTAATGGTCAAAGACACACATGTCAAATTTACATTTTCTGATGACTAATCTCTCTGAGAAATCATTATTGTTCACTGGATCGAAGTCCATCTATAGAGGCTATAGAAAAAGGAGCCAAGTGAGTTATTGAAGTGAAAAAATACTGATAGAGTCTGCCAAGCAAGATGGTGGCTCATGTCCAGAAATGACCA